CCTCACCTGGAGTCCTGTGTCCAGTGCTGGGCTCCCCAGTACAAGAGAGACATGGCACTCCTGGAGAGAGTCCAGTGGAGGGCTACAAAGATGATGAGGGGACTGGAGCATCTCTCCTATGAAGAAAGGCTGAGAGAGCTGGGCCTGTTCAGCCTGGAGAAGAGAAGACTGAGAGGGGATCTGATCAATGGGTACAAGTATCTGAAGGGAGGGTGTCCAGAGGATGGGGCCAGGCTCTTCTCCATGGTGCCCAGGGACAGGACAAGAGGCAACGGGCACAAACTGAAGCACAGGAAGGTCCATCTAAACCTGAGGAGAAACTTCTTTCCTGTGAGGGTGACAGAGCACTGGCACAGGTTGCCCAGAGAGGTAGTGGAGTCTCCTTCCCTGGAGATATTCAAAACCCGCCTGGACACGATCCTGGGAAATATGCTCTAGAGGACCCTGCTTGAGCAGGGAGGTTGGACTAGATGATCTCCAGAGGGCCCTTCCAGCCTCAACCGTTCTGTGATTATGTGACAGATCTCAGTAGCACTCAGCAAAGCAGCAGCTGTTCTTAAGCCTAGAAATATATACTAGAGCAGTTCTACCAGTAAAACTGAGGACTAACTTAAAAATCTACAATATCTCTGATAAGGTAAGTGGGGACAGCCTTTTTTTTTTTTTTAATTAAAATGGAGTGTATTTATTATTGAGTATTGTACTTATTAAGAATATATTTATAGGAAATATAATACCTAGAAGAAGATAATATTCTTTTAAGTTCCTATTGGATCCACGTTTAAGTTGCTCATTTTACCTAAAGTGGCTTTCAGTGTGGGGTTTTGGATATCTTTTTTGATGTATGGACCCCTAAGCATTTTCATAGATCCCTATATCAAGAATGTAAAGCGTATTTGCAATAGGCTTACTTTTCTTGGTTATCTCTTTGTTTTCTTTCTTACCTTACCAATATCACATTCCAGTGATATGGAGATGGAGTGATTAAAGCATCTCTGTAAAGATACAATGACATAATTTTCAAGCCTTGCTGAGGACTCCCAGTGAGGGACATCTCCTGTCAACCCAGATGTAAATGGATGATTGTTCATTGAGACCAAGGAGTCAGAGGCAGCCAGAGATATTGGTAGCTGTATTGCTCTTGTATGCTGTTGGCACAGAAACTGGTGAACCTTAACCACATTAGATTGGCAGGTCACAGATGCTCAGCTGGACTGCTGCCATTGACCAGTGACATAAAGGAAATACACTGCACTAAATGGCTATTAAAGCATATTTTATTGTACAGCAATTTGCAATACAGAGAATGTGTAGTTCTTTTTAAACATATATACATACAAAATTACAGAGAATGCAGTGATCTGTAGCTTTGAGGAGGAACAAACTGCATGAACACCACAGTTCTACTTGTAAACAGTATAAATTAAATTTCAAGAGTTTTTTCACTTTAGAGCCTGCTTATTTATATAATATAGTCTTTAACAGAAGTTGGCACAGACAACCAACATTCACTGAATTTGTTCCCCATACAAGTATGAAAATATGCTTTATTTTAAATACTTTGCTTTATATTCACTAGGAAACCTGCACACCTGGGGTTTATTTGTTACTCAGCCACCTAATGACTAATTTCATTTATGCCCAGCTATCTATAGCTATAACTCAAAGGGCTGAAACTGTAGAAAAAGGACTTATTTTTACAAACTATGTAACACATTCGAACCTACATTCTGCATGGCTGCGTTGAATTTTCTTTAACCATAACGAGTGTTTTCTCACACAATGGCCTTGAGTCATGATGCTACCAGTCCTAAGGATACCAATAAGAAAGAATTAGGCCTGATCAGTAATACAGTGGGAGAGAAATACTCTTATCTCTGGTGCTGTTAAAAGTTACTGCTATCTATGAGTAGCCTGGACAGGGTCAGAGAGATAGCATTACACACTGTAACAAACATGGCAAGGCTAACGGTAAAGGCATTTAAACTGCAGTTGAGATATTGAATTAACTCTTCAATTACCAGATACGGTCAAAAACATCTTGGAAATAGTTTTTTTCCCCCAAGATAATTAAGTGCCTTGACTATATGAATAAATATTTCCCTTTGGTTTCTGCTGGATTAGGTATCTTTCACTTTCTGTAATGAAAAGTTACCTAGTCTTGTTGCACAGCAGTAGGTTAGGGGGAAAAAAAGAAAACCTCTGTACCAGGACCTGTGTATGAACAGACTGCCTGCACTGCCACAGAACCTTTTAGCTTAATTGGGGATCTGCTTGGGTGCACATCCTCCCAGTGCTCCTGCAAGGAGTGGCCCATAGATATTTTGCTTAGAATATATTTTAATAGGCTATACAGATGTAAAGTTGTGGTTTATTTTTGCTAACATAATTATTTATGCTAACATAATTTTATAGTCAATACAAAGATAGTTATACTGAAAAAAACATTTAAACTATATTAGGTCATAACTGTACTTCTAAGAACAATTAAGTAAGAGAAGCTACAGCACATCTTATTAAGCCACTAACGTACGTTGAACAGGCATGAGGTGGTTATAAGAACGCTCATGTGATCAGAATGTTTTTGGAGTGTCTCACAGAAATCATTACCTCAAAAATGCATACTATGCCACAATTAAAAGGGTCAAAACCAATACAGGACAAAGTAATACTTCCATGTCAACTGAATAAAAATAATCTTATGTACAGATTGTCAGGAAAAACATGAAAGGCTTTTCCTTTTAGAATAAATATGTGTATTAAGGGAACACATCCATTAGCTAACATAACTTTGTGCAATTAAGAGAACAGTTCTTAAGTACTAAATGAAAACAAAACCAAAAAAAAGTACAGTAGTGCAACCATGTCAGAGCATAAATCTGATGTTTGCTGTTTTACATTTCAGATAGAAGGCAAGGTAACTTTTTAAAGCAAAACAAACAAAAGCCTTATATAATTCATCATTTCCATGTATAAATAGATGCTTCCATTTCTAAATTTAAGTAAACAATTTAATTCCAAGTTCTCTTACTTTACTATGAATTCTATCTAGTATTAAGGGAACGTTCAGACTTGATGCAGCCGATCATTGCAGTATTTCTAAAGTCAGCCCCAACTGAGCTGTAGCTGCATTTCAATTTGATAGTGCTTTTTCTAGTAATGTTGACCATTAAACTATTCCAAGGTAAAACTTTATGAACAGTTTTCAACCCTGAATCTTATTTTAAAAAAAAATACTGTTTCAAGTTAAAGTAACTTTATCTGACATACATAAAAATTACATAGCTTAAAAAAGAGATTCCATTTATAAAGTTTGGCCAAATAACACAAGAGAGATTTTGGTCATTAAAATAAATGAGAAGCCAAAATATCCATGGCCTAATCCTGCAGAAAGAAAAATAGGTGTGAAGGTAGGTCCCTGAAATTACTTCCTTCAACTAGGCTCTCTACAGCCATGGACATTCACATGGCACACTCTGTAGGATAAGAACCTTAGAAAGCAATTACTGCACATGCACACACACTGCTAACTGTATGGATCTGGAACCCACATTTGAAAGCGACACCTCACAAATTTTATAGTGGTGAAGAGAAGGCTATGGGTGATCCAATAGCCTACAGCTATTCAAAGGGGAGTTGCAAAGAACGCAGCCAAACTCCTCTTGGTAGCAACAGACAGCGTAATGGGGAAATGGCTAAAATTGTGACGTGGGAAACTCAGGCTGGGCATGGGGAAAAGCGTTTCACCAGAAGGGGAGTGCAAGCATGGGAACAGGTTGCCCAAAGAGGTGGTGGGATCACTGTCTTCGGGGGTTTTCACAACTTCTCTAGGAAAGCCATTGCTAACCTGATCTAGAGCTGGCAACAGTCCAGCTTTGAGTGGGAAGTTGGACAAAACCACTTCCAGAAATCCTTCCGAACAACTTTATGTGATTCTATGTACCCAGCTAAAAATGTATTGGTCATGCAGGTATGTCAACAAGGTCTATGCAAACACATTTCACCTCATTTACTGCAGGCCAAGACCACAGACTTTGTCAGATACTGTGGTTCGGCTGCTGCACAGTAGAACACTGAGCTCCAGTCTAAGCCCTGGAAGTTAACAGAAGCTAATAACACTGAAAGAGCAATACTTTGAAATGAAAGGAACAGCTTATAATTATGGAAAACACTCTTTAAAGCCTACAGGTTGTGAGCTTACACTTCAGAAACCAAGAGTTGGATTGTCTCCCTCTCTCTTCCCTATTGGTGTAGGAGAAAACATCTGGAAATATAACCCATAAGTATTCTAACCCCCCCCCTTTTTTTCCTTCACACAAGAATACAGAAGAGGCCTTCAATGTGCTCAGTTAAGCATAGTTTTCTCCTCAGAAAACAATATATGTGCCCCCCCACTATAATCTTGGTACACCTGCATCTCTTTCGGTCTCTGCTACCTATTCCAGAAAAGTCTCAAGACTACAGTGAGGCTTCTGCAGTGCTGTGTTGGAGAATGCTACAACCCTGAAATCTCCCATGTGGAATAAGGTAGGTCTGTGTATGAAGATTGCCTCAATACTTCGAAGATAATATATTTTCTCTTATAGGGCTGGAAGTGAAATAAAATGTCTTATTTCATCTGGCATTACATTTTTCTGTCTTGTTAGAATATGCTTTCCGTTAGTTGCTTAAGGAATAGCTGCTCTGACACTGATATTCTTTACTGCTCAGACAGTATTTTTTTTAAATGTGATGAACCATCTTATTCCTGAGAACTCCACATTTTATAAAACTAATAACAAAGCACAAGCTATACAGTGTTCAAATATAGTGCTGACAAAATACTGTAACAGCTGCTAGTTGCTGCTATCAGTCCATAAAACTTTATCCAAGGCTGATTTAATGAACCATGTTTCACCTTGGAGACGTTTTCTTAATATACACAGAAAAAATTGAAATAGCTGGGTCTGGAAGGGCTCCTTTCTCATTCCTATTAAAATTAGTGACAGCTGAGAAGAATTGGACCGTGTTTGCTGATTGTAGAAATACATACAAAATTGTACTAAAATATAGGACTGCTGGGAACTTCTATAAGCAATAACAACTTAGATTTTAGAGATGATGGCACCTAGACCTACCACTCACTAGTGAGTTTCTCAGAGTTTTCTTAAAATCAGCCAACATTGTTCTCATTAAGTGGTTCCTGTCCATTCCAGGGATTTCTTTTAATGAACAGCTGATACAGATACTTGTGCATGTGCAGCAATTCTTTTACCTGCGGGTTTAAAACTTCAAAAAAAATGTATAAAGAATATCAGTTAAAACACACTCCTCAGTACTATGACAACCCCTCAGTTAGTGTCTGAATGGAAAACATTTGAAAAATATAGGGAGAAAGGACAATCTGTATCTCTCTATAATACTAGTAATAACCAAGTCTAAACAGATAGGCAGGTATTGGGTCATTAATTCATCTCAGTAATCCTACATACCACAGATACTATAGTCTCTCTGGAATTTGGAACTGCAATGGTCCATGCAAATATTCCTTTCATTTTTGATCTGTGTAGGATCAGATCAAAAGTCTACTTCTCAGTTCTGAATCAAACCCCAAGCCCCCAAATTAAATAAAATTCTAACTCACCAACTTTTGTGTAATTATGACAGAACCCCATACATTTGCCACTGTGTACTCCCAAGGGAGTCCCATTCCACTTAGTGCCCCGAATTTAGGGTTTACTTGAAACTAGGAAACCTTTTAATGGTTTGGAGTTTTGGTGGAAAACGTGTATAACGTAAGGCCTTCAAAAAATAGGTAAGCAGACAAGAGCAAAAAGAGATAAATTAATTAAGGCTGGATTTTTTTTCTTTGCCTATGAGTGATATGTTACATTATCATAGCATATTCTGTATGTAAGAAATATTGATGCCATGAAGAAACAAGCAGGAAAAGGGGGTAAAATATATTACAATATTGTATGCACTGACTATTGTAGCATTGATTCTGAGCTCATTTCATTGACTTACATTACTTAAGAAAGGTGATACCAGGACCTAAAGTACAAAGCAAGTGCATAAATATGAATGAACAGAAAGTAGAAGCTGGATTTTTTCCATGATGTGCAGCTTCTAAATCCACAAATGTATAAGTCCACAGTAAAAAGAATACATTATTGAAATCCTTCATTTATCCTTTTTAAAAAAATAGTAAAAATATACAAGTATGTTATTTAGTTCAGAAAAAGAATCATCATTCAAACACTGCAACAGTTCTTCATGAGTGCCAATTTTTTGACAGGTGTCCCAGCCAGGCTGGTTACTGACCTCGTATCATCTTCATTATCACTTTGTTTTCTCACTTCACTGTAAATAAATAAAAAAACAGGGACAGAGCTCAATAAATTTATTTCTATTCATGTTCACTATTCTGTTTCTCTCAGCATGTCTGATACTACTCACTGTCATTATTGCTTTCTAAGTTAAATTCATAAACTTTCTGTAAAACAGCAATACAATTTTCAGTATATGGAATCAAACATGTCTTAAGTTTCTACTTTGGGAATAGCATCGGTATTTGTATACAAATCACTCTTAGTGACAGAAATATAATCATTTCTGATATGTGATAATATAATTTCCTTTTGCTATTTTTTTATTTAATTTGGTAACTGTCGTATCACCACAGAAACTAAACATGTTCATAGCTGAAAGTATAAAACTAAGTAATATGCAATTTCAAGTACACATTTATCCTTAGAGCATATTGTTGGATGTTCTGTTACAAATGTAGACTTAAAAGTTGTATATGTACATGTGATTATTGATTCTGTATTCCTATTATGGGCCTCCTAGAATGTCAAAAGCCAGCTCTAAAATTTCCTGCTTATAGTGCAATTTAAGTCATCCTTACATCAGTAGAATAAATTCATGGTGTTCCTCTCAAAATACCATATTATTCAACATAGTAATGGTGGCAGAAAAGAAACCAAAAAAGGGGTAATAGGTCAGTCTAGAAGTAAATCTATCTGCTCTAATGAAATGTTCATGTAGAAATTTCTATTTCAAAATTCAGAAATGTTTCCATCAAAGAATAAGAGTTACTAAGTCTTGAGTAAAGGAATCGCAGTCAACCATTCCAGACTAAAGTCTCTGGGTAATGTCTACAGCACTTGAGGATTGCTGAAGTTAGTGAAGAGAATGGTTAAAATTTTATTTTTAAGATTCTGAAAAACAGAAAGGCTCCAACTGGTAAAAGTTTCATCCTTGAAACAATTAAACAAATTTATCATTTTTAAACATTATGGGTCATTTTCCAACTGTGATTGTTACATAACTGTACTATGCATGTTCTCAACTTCACAATCCACTGCTGCATTCACAGCCAGGTTCCTGGAAACCAGTCATTCAACAAATCAACTGTTTACTTTGCATTGACACCAGGAGATAAATGAATGGCTACGTTCTTGCTGCATCTCTGACGTACTTGTTTTCCTGGCAACACAGGTACTTTTCAAAGTCCTGATTGAAGAAACAATGATCCTGTCCAGAAAACCAGTACTTTTGATTCAAGCCATTTTAATTAAAAGTATTTTAATATGGAATAACCAAATACTGACCAAGTGTCAAAAGGTTAATTTCATCAGGCTGCTGCAAAAATTAAACAAATACAGTATGTAATTCTAGCCTTAGGCTCCATGTTTCAAATTTAAAATTCAGAAACTGAGGATTTATTACATACTGCCAACTCCTCAAAATAAAATGGTAATAAAGAAGGGTTTAGAAATGTAGTAAAAGCATAAAGTTTGGCTCATACTTTATCATGGAAATACGAAGTTGCTGGATGGATACAATCAGAATTTCTATCTTTTAAATAATTTAGAGAAAGTGACAACAAAGAAAATACATGGGATTAAAAAAATCTGTAATAAAACTTATGTATAACGATCTGGTAGACAAATCAAAACGTATATGAATGCATGTGAAAATTTAATTATATGTAAAATCAGATGTATTAAAAATTTATATATATATGAAAGAATTAAGAAAGTAAATCCATGTATCTCATTAAAAAAATAACATTCATTCACCAAACAGGTTTTAAAAGTGTGAGTTCCATAACTAAGCTCCAATTTTAATATTAATAATTAAGATAGAGTAACATCTGCAAGCAAAAATGTGTTATCTGATTAAACTGAGAAAAAAAATCCTGTTTTGCATTGATCTATAAAGATTTAACATGGCATCCTTTTTAAATTTCATTTGTTGAATTAGATGTTGGTACAATTTTAAATATACATGTGTGTGTGTGCACGTGTCTGTGTGTGTATATATGTATATAATGTGCATTTTATAAAATATACTCAGATGTGTTTGTTTAAAAATAGAAACATGGCTACTTACCGAGCAAGATGAAGAACTGCTTCTACAATATTGGATCCGTTTTTAGCACTTGTTTCACAGAATAGCGCATTGTAAGTCTGTGAGTAGAAAATAAAATGTTAAGCAAATGTATCTTAAATGGCTTTATCTAGGTATTTTCAATTACAAATGGTTTCCTCAGTAACTCCAAAGAATTATTACACACACATTTAAATGAACAGGATTCATTCTGGTCCTCTTCATTCTCTAATATAGTCACTTTAATATTGGAAAAAATTAATTAATTTTAATTGTATGTTTTTTATATTCAGTATATTTTAATTAACAAGCTGAGTTAAAAACAAATCATAGCCTCAATGTCCAGCCTAAATCTTCTTGCTCACAAGACTGCAAAATAGGAAAAGAGTTGCTAGGACAGGTTACTGAAGCCATGCTGTTAGCTACTCTTTACCCATAGCAACTAGTATTCTAGCTTAACCAGGAATATTATTCCGTAAGTAACAGACATTGTACCTGCCCTAGTACAATCATTCGATTGTGCAAGCACTCATCAACTCTATGGTCCACTTGTCCTGCAAAATACAGGACACATGCATCCTTCCCTTACCACCTAATAAAAATATGGAAACATTTGTCCATACTTTTATTTATAGCAGAGGGTTACTTCTCCTCAACCCTTTTTCCTGCAGACATGGCAGGAATACAAGACAGTGTCTTGAAGATGAAAATATTTCACTCAAACTGGACAGGCACAAGTTAGGTGGAGAGCCTCATCCCCTCATACTTGCTTTGGCAATTTTTCTCTAGAGGCATAAAAGGTCAGTCTCCCAGTCCATGCACTTTTTGGACCATGAGGACTGTGAAGAATATGCCAGCCAATAATGAAGTTCAGGTCAGTGGATGCTGGGATGAGATTTCGGCCAGAACATGCCATGAACAGAGTAACTTTCATGAAAAGTATCCACTGACGACTAGATTTTAAATTAATGACCAGAAAATGACTTTAGTTTACTAGTATTTCGCATAGTTTTCAGTTTAAAGTTCTTTAGAGCATTTTATACTGAACAAGTAGACATGGACCTTACCATGGCCAGCTTTTCTCCATAGTTTATAGGCACACATTTTCGTCCTTGTTCTGTAGCCACTTGGCGGAGATCTGCTTTGTTTCCCACCATCATAATTGGAATATTCTCATGAGTTGCATCCTGTAAAGGATATTTTATTTCCTTATTGCAAGAACACTCAGAATACAAAAAGATCACTAGCATCATCATGTAACTTGAGCAAGTAATCATACTGATTTCCTTCTCACAAAAAAGTTTTGCACACTATCAAAAAAAGATTTTTTTTTAAATCACAATGAGAGCTTTTCATGAGGAAGTCCATAATTTAAGCAGCCAGCTTAAACATGAGCTTGCAAAGATGTGCATGTATTCCCATAAGCTCTGTTAGCCAACAAGGAATTTCATGTGTCAAATTAATCTGATGGAAACAGTCACTATATGTAAATGCTATAAGACTAAATTACTACAGGAAAAGAGACTAATTCTGCTACCATTATGTAAAAAAAAAAAAAAAAAAAAAGCTTTCAAAAGGGGAAATTAAGTTCTTGCTGATCACTTTCCCTCCTATTAAATGCATCTGATACAGGAAGAAAACCTTTTTCTTTAAATGTGAACTTGTATTCAGACAAACAAACAAGTTGTAATAACAGTAATTTCACTTGAACTATAGCTAATTTATAGAATTTAACATACTGGTTTAACATGCAGAGCGTACAAGGAATAGTGAAGCCATCCACAGGGAGATTGTCTGAAATGATCTAGCACTCATGTTCATTTCAAAAGGAAGCAGTCAGAAACAGTGTGATTACATGATACTCTTATACAAAACATCACAATGCATCAGTTTTAACACAGACTGAATATGTCAGGATACAGTTTAATACCCTGAGGAATTCCATTTAACTTGTACTTCTATTAGACATTGCAGTTTGGCTAATTCACTATACAGTAATTCAAGCTTTATAAATCAAGCTAGTCTCTCTAAAAAGGACTCTGGAATTCTGAACCAAATAATGAGCTTCTCAGTGGAAATACTCACTTCCTCACTTTAAATAATAAGGTAACAACACAGTGAAATACAGCTATAGCCGCTTAGCCCCATAGCCCAGAGAAAGGTCCAGTAACTGTGGCCGTCAATCAGGCTGGCCTTTACATGACCCCGGGCCAGTATCTCCAACCTGATTGGCCAAGGGGCTACCCCGGGTGCTCTGCTATTTTGGAGGACCTTACATCCAAGTCCTCAAACAGGTCCGCATTAAAATGAGGGATCAGCAACAGACCAACCAGCACATGCCACATGCCAATAGGTCTGCCTGCAGCCACCATTTGGATGCCTACAAAAGGGCTGCAGCGCACATGGTGGGTGGTGATAATGACAGTGGAGTGAGGTGGAGCTAGGAAGAGAGTGGAATCACTGCAGCTCAGCAGCCTTGTTAAAGGTTTGAAGGTGCTAAGTGGCCTTTTTCAAGACCTTCACCAGAAGCCACAGGAGGGCAGATGAGAGGCTGGGGCTGCCACTCACCATCCCTTCACAGCACAGTCAGAGTTACTGGGGAGAGGTGTGTTTGCCCTGTGCAGCCTCTTGGGTGCCCTTATTGTTGTTGTTACTATTAATAGTAGTACATATACTCCTATATATATATTTTACCTCAACTTTTCCTTTGAACTGATTTGTTATCCCCTCTGTATGTGTATCCTTATATTGTTTATGTATCCACCCCTGCTGTAAATATTGTACATATATTTGGATATCAGTGTTTCAAGGTTTCTAGTTATAACTGTTCCTGTACTGTTAATTGTTAACAAAATAACCTTTTAATGACAGTTTATCAGTATTGTAAATCCATTCATTGACACACAAACACCTATACTGCCACCTTGAATCTGATTAGTTCATGGTCCTGTTATCTGCCATTTCCACCATGCCTTTTGGTTGGGGTGCCTGCCCCTCTGGGTCAGACCAGGACAACAGCTTGCAAGTTGTATATAATTTAAGGTTCTTACCTCAATCATATCCACCCATTCTCGTACATTAAGAAAACTTTTTTCACATGTTACATCATACAACAGTAAGACACCATCTGCTCTTCTAAAGTATGATTTAGCAATACTTCGAAATCTTTTAGGAGAAAAAAAAAAGATGACTTGTGTAAAGCCACATTTACAAAAGAGAATTCTAATTTAATGTCATTAACAACACAGAGCATTACTTGATTACTCTACTAAATAGATTTGTCCTCTCCATGTTCAGCTGTGAGAAAACATACAATTCTTAGAAATGTTTTTGAAAATTACTTAAGCAGATCTACAAACGCTCCATTAAAATCCATAGGATTCTATCCTAATCAGCAATCAAAACTTTTTTATATTAAAACGATCTACAGTTTATCTATTACAGATACCTGCTTTGCACTGGGTTTTGATTACATGGCAAGGCTTTTAGGCTCACACAAGTTCATAAACTGAATGGGTTACACTGCTACATTTGAAGAAAACATGAAGTCAATAAACTTAACTCCAGGAATTAATTTATCAAGTTATAGAGAGTTGTCTTCTCCATCAACATAACAATGAAGTATGGCAACTAGGCATCTACGTTATATAAGAAATATTCTTCACAAACTTATCAGGCAGCAGGAGAGTAATTGGGTCTCTACCTACTTCACATAATCCACTTGCTTAGACAAAAGTAAACACACATGGCCCAATACAGATCATAGCCTGTGGACAGATTAAACTGACTTCCCAGGTGTCAGAGTAACCTCTTTACAGACAGCCTTTGGTGCTTATTAAGAAGTAATGGCTCTTTGCAGGTAAGGATGCCATAGGATTTTGTGGAAATCCTACACAATAATTTGAAGATCCTTGACATACATTCAGCAATCTGTACAATTCTGCCATATGTCTCTCTAGAGTCTTTGGGGAGAAGAGAGAAGATATTTCATTCACTGAAAACAATGCAAATCAGGAGCAGGAATTTCAAGGGAAGGGGTCATGAAAATCTCTAAGATTCCTGTTCAGAAATACAGGTCTATAAGGACAAAGAAAGCAAAGGAGGAAACAGTATACTACTACTCCATCTTTTTACAGTAATGCAAGAGAGGGAGACATACAGATGTAATTAATTAATGCTGAGTTGAATCTCAACTAGTATTCTCCGCAGAAATAAAAGGTAATCTCACACACTACCATAGTGAACAGATAAATACTCCACCTGTCTCAGTCACAGGAGGGCAAAATCACATCTATCTACAGACGCATATGGCCATATTGACATATTTACAATAGGGCCACGTAATATTTATTGCCTTTTTCTTTGCACCTAGATGAAAAAAGGCAAATGTCATTTAGAAACAAAACAACTGAAATTACATAAGTTGCAGAGAATCACTAACCTCTCCTGCCCAGCTGTGTCCCACAGTTGTAGCACTGTAGGTTCTCCATCAACAACTAGTCTTTTCATTTGAAAATCCACACCTGAAAAGAATAATGTGTATAGTCTAATCAATATTAAATTTAAAAATATCAATAACATTAACAAATCCACAGAAAATGAAAATTAATGTTCCATATAAAAGGGCGTAATCATTATTTCAAATTACATCTTTTTAATAAATTGTGAGATTTCAATAGTTCCTATAACCCTGAAATGCAATAATCTCCTGAATATGGCAATGAATATTCCATTTGACTTTAGAAAAACATTTAAAGGAATATTTTGCCCACATATTTTCCCAGGAGCATTGATACAAATTTGATGTTATGACAAGCAAACAAGAAGATCCCTCTCTGCTTTATTTTACCAAATAGTTTTATGGAAGAAGAGAGAATGTTTCATAAAGCAGACTATTTCAAATGCCAAAGAGGAAAAAAAAAATCAATTGGAACAAAAATCCTGACTCAAAGCAAATAGAACAAATACACATAACTATGATTTGACTAGAAGACAAAAATTCAGTCTTTGGAATAAGACAAGTTTGTTAGCTGATGGTTATGATAATATACACAACAAGCCAGTTAGAAATCCCTCCAGCAGCATTTTAACTAAAGCTTCAATAACATTTTGAAGAAATTGAGATCAAGAATAGAATGAAGACATCAAACAATAGTATGTAAGACTAAAGAAGTAGGAAAGAGCTGAGGAAATTGAAATTTCAATTTGCAATTGAAAATGCAAAAAAGACTTTGTAAACAGGTTCTAAGATCATTACATTAAAACTCCCTTTTTTGGTGCTTTGGATTGTTCAATAACAGGTTTTGTGCTTTATACAGAGAAACTAAATATAAGTAGTACCCTATACTCCACTCTAAATAGCAGTTACGCACTTGTAGGCTTTAGTAGTCATTTAGATCTCACAGGCTGCATGTGTATAGTCAGGATATCCTTGGGGATCACAGAGTGTGTTCTTTTCACTCATCACTTTTGCAGAATAGTAGTGGAATTCACTTTAGTATTTTAAGAAGAAAAACAACCATACCCAGAGTTGCACTGGTATTGCCTCGAAATTCATTCTTGCAAAGTCTCATAAGGAAACTGGATTTTCCCACTGCTGCATCTCCAGCAAGAACTATCTTGTAAGCCTTCTCAGAACTTGGGTATTTCGGAGTACATTCTCTTGCATCTGACTGAAAACAAAAAGAATCCATCCGATTCACCTCATTTAAGAAATTTTACAATATAGTTCTGGATATCAAAAAAAATTATTTTTTATTTTTTAATAACTGGTTACCTGAGGAGGAATAGCAGATATATATTTCCTTGTGGAAGAAATTGAGCTGCTTCGACTTACTGGTCGTGAGGGCTTCCAGTCTAATACCATACTGCTGTTGTCAGGACTGTATGCTTCTTCATCCCTGATCTCTGGAACCTCAAAAAGCCAGTGTGGTAGCTCCAGTGAGAAAAGTATGCTTTTTTTTTTTTTTTTTAGGAAAGGCAGAGCTAAGACTGAATGAAACTTCTGGTTTTAATAGTTTGGATTAAATATAAATAAATGATCAGAGCTATGCAATTCTTATTCATGAAAACAAAGTGTCTATGCAGCTTTCTTAAATCCTGTAACCTCCAGATCTGATAACTAACACTAACAGTAACTGCTGCAGCAGGTACAAAAAGACAACTGTATTATATGATGTATTTCAGTATTCACCTATGTCTTTCTTTTTCCTACTTGACAACACTAGCAAATTCCAAAGATACTATATCAGAATTTTTCTGATCTGGACACCAGTGGAACCACATTTGCTATTTACTATGGCCTATTTTCTGTCTTTAAATGTGTTTGCTACTTGGGGGACACACTTTCATTACTGTTTCCAGGTAGGGCAAAGGAATTTCCATAAGGAAAATTTCAGCTTCAAAAATAATTACAGTAAACAAATACTAGAAAACATTATTTCAAAACTTATTAAAAACATTTTCTACAAGACATAACTCTCCAGAGTACTACTACTTAAGCCAAACTAAATAGAACACAGCAGATAACTTTAATCAGCACTATTTCTGGCATTTTCAACAGCAAAGTGATTGGACACAGTGAAAGATCTGCTCTTGAAAAACCTGTGTTTTACTGTTAATTCTGCTACTCTTGCTATGTGGGTCTCAGTAAAGATCTCCATTTCTCTGTCAATAAAATGGAGACAATAACCATTTCTAAAGTGCCCTGAGACTTATTGCGTAAAGCAATGTATGCACTAACAGTATTATTCTTATATATGTGATCTTTCCATTCACTGCCACAGCATAGTAAGAGAATTTGAATTGAAACCTATTTTTAGTTCTATAGTATTTGCTTTTTAATTAGAAAATGGACTTCTGTCTCCAGGCTGTTTAACAACCTTTAAAAATACGAAATGTACTTTGAAAAGCAAATTACTGATTAAAGTCTAACCAAACCGTCAAAATAGTTTTTTGTTTTTGTTTTTTAAAGAGTAAAGTTCTACAGAAAAACTGTCAGTAATCTCATTTAAATGCATATAACCCAAATACTTAGTTTTATCTGGCCTATGGGCAAAGATCCATTTCATTTTAAAAACAGGAAGCTAACTTGGTCTCCAATCAAAGGTTATTCTTAGAAATGCAGCAAGTCTAGCACTTACATCAGTATCAGAAGCATCACCACCAAAGCTTTCTTGCATACACTGTGACTTTTGAAAAATTCTTTGATGCCTGTATTCCACTTCTGAATCATATTCATTTGAGTCTCTCAGGGTAGACAAACCACTGTCAAAACAGCTCTCAGGCAAGCTGTCAACCTCACAGTTTATCCTTTGCATAGGGTCACAAAGGGCTAAAGAATCATAATCTTCATCCACACAAGAAGAATGAGATGATCTAGTAAAAAAACACACACAAAAAAAAAAACCAACAAAACACACACAAACACACCACAAAAAAAAAACAACCCCAAAACACCAACCAACAACATTTTATTTTACAATTCTTTTTACCAACAAAATCTGAACCATTCTGGAATGGTCAATAGATAGAAATGCTAGCTACATATTTTAAGGCATATGCCACTGCCCTATTTTGTCTTCCCACTTGAAGTCTTTTTTATCATATCTGTTCATGTTCAGATTCATTTATGTAATCCATCTTATTGATGATGACTTCCCAAGACTAGCAAGAATGCCTATTTATTCATACTTAAAATAATTGTTTTAAAGAGAGTCAGAAAACAAAGTACTATGAAGATATCAAAGGCAGAAAGTGATAGCTCAGTGCTGATGGTTTTGCTAATGTTGGATATGGAAAATGACCTTGATGTGCTGTATCTAATTTATATGAATGCATCCAGCCCTTTGCTCACAAATTCACACAGGCCAATAAGTAACAACTATGAATACAGAAGAGGAGGCAATGGAGTTCAGAAGCTCAGCAACAGTGGAGGCAGAAGCTGCAGAAACATGTTTTGTTACAGTTTAGTTGGCTATGTAAAACTTAAAGCACTAAACGAAAGTCCCTTCTTTCCCCTCTCTCTTCCTTCAAAGCAAATTATTTTTTTGTTCTGGATGTCATAATATATAAGGATACCTAAACAGATGCAGCAATGGGAGTGTGGCTTACAGAAAAAAGAATTTACTTTTATTTGTGCAAAAGGAGCTGAGGAAAAGAAAGATGAATAGAGTGAATCTTAAAAGAATCAATCTCTTAAAAAAGTGTATTATGGCTACAATCATTATCCAGTTCCTGCAGTAAGATATGGACAGGCACAAATTAAAGTGAGGTAGAAAATGTCTCAAAGTCATGGTAGAGAGGAGAAAACCAGTCTGGCTCTGTCCTATGGGAATGGATGTGAAGCACTGAACTGCTCAAACAGACAATGCCAGCGTGATTCATTGTAAAGCTAGTTTGCTGCTGGTGGGGCCAGGCACTCCCAACATAATGGCACACTACAGAAGAGCTCACTGTGGGGATTCATGGGATTATGAAGTTGTTACTGAGTCCAGTATAATTCCCCCCTGCAAGGGGCTAACCAAGATGTTAGAGGCAGCATTTTTCTACTACAACAGCATTCAAAACTCTCTTGTTTCCATGCCCCCAGTGTAATGAATGTTCATGTGAATGAGCATGATCTTTGTTTTGGAATATCACAGTATCCATGCTATTTGTATCCAAGCACCCACGAGCCTATAGCAAACCAATGAAATACGAAAGAAGGGTGCATGCTATAATAAAGTTAAGCTGGTCAGGCATTCCCTGAAATAAAGTTCTTTATTAGTCAATTTTCAACATCACTGAAGTATGGATTCAACACTGGGAATTTCATATATGCTTAAAGCAACTTAGACCAAGATATATTATGCAACTGAAAAAATATATTTAGGGATGTAAATTGCTTAAAACATGTTAACATGCAGACCAGTATTTCTGAACACTGATCTGATGTTAGGAGACAAAATGCTGAAAATGAACAGAGTATTTTGGGAAATTCATATCTTGCTCTCTCCTTCAATGCTACTAAATCGTGCCTGTTAAGAGTAAATTTTATCCCCAGCACATAAACTTTCTTCTAAAGAAGCTTGTGTTTCACGCTTTCATTCGAATGCAAATGATTGCACCAAATGGCAGATATTAATAAATATTCTCAGAGAAGGATATCACTAAACCTCCTAAATACATTTTACTCATTCCTTCCCTAACCTCAGAAAATTACTCAGTCCAATGTGCAGCTTAGTAATGCATACGTCTTTCAAAATTTGCAGAGGGTCCAACATAAGGGAATTGGTTTTTATCTGCATTCAGCAGAAGGACTCAGTTTATGGCAAGCAAAATTTTATAGCCAGCAAACACATCTCTCACATGAAGACAGCAGAATCAGTAACAGTATTGAATGAATTTGGATATTATTAGTATGAAGGGGAAGCCAACTTAATCCCTACAAAAGATTTTCATCCCACTGGCAAAATATAAAACACATAAGAACTCTATTAAAGATCTCTGTAGAGTTTGAAGTAACACCAAAAGAATAAGACAAAACAATATCAGTTGAGTAAGAACACACATTTTTAATGGCAGTTCCAGCTATTAAAAAAAAAAAAGTTTGACAAAATAACATGACCTGTTTATTCCTTGTGAAGAATTAGGCCCAAATACCTTTGTGACAATTATTACATGGGAAAACCAGACATACAGGCTAAAGATATGAATAAAAAATGCTTTATTTTCTAAGTACTGAGGAAACTAGTTAATAGAGGTCCTCAGTAGATTTTTTGGTTCCTTAGACACAGGGAGGGAGACTAAGAAACAAATGAGAATCAAAATAGTCTAAGATAAAACACAAAGGTGTTTGAATTCTGTGCAAGTTCATTAGTTAGCACTGAAAAGAGTTCTCCTGAGCTTTCTGAAGTCATTGAAGAGATTCCTATTGACTTCATTATACTTTGGATCAAATGCTATAGGTCACACATTCTTTCTGAATCAGACTGAATTATTCTGTTACTTGACAGTATTTACTCTTCTAAGATATTTGCAATTTTCTATCCTTTTTAAACTTAGTAAAAGCAAAACTGGCTTACCTGTCATACCGTGGGTTTAGAGGAGACTGTCCACCACTACATTTGGGACTGCTTCTAGAAATGGTATTTCCTGGTGAGGTGTTTGCTAGCCGCTGTGAGATACATAACAAATACATGAAAGGTTTGATAAACACAGTGTAAGCATCTAGGTTTGTCATGACAAAAGTGTAAATCCTCAAAATTACTACTGTGTATTTTCATGTATATTCAACTGCTTATTTTTAAATAAACCTCTTCCTTTAAATAGTACTGGATGTCAACACATTACATTACATGCAGCACATTACATACATCATTTAGGCTCCCTTGTTGCTTTAATACTGGATCTGCTGGCCACACTCAATCACAAAAGACAACAGAATTTCCCAAGAGGGTGATGTCAATGACTATACCTCTAAGACTTTGAGATGATAAACTCTGAAAAGTAATATTTAGAGAAAAGGCATGATGATTTTCCTCATGTTCTTTAAAAGACAGCCAGTCCATGCATGTTGATGACTAAGATGGAAAAGGAAATGTCACTGGCTGAGCTGGCTCCAGTAGAGATACTTTCTGGTTCTCGAGTGGGATTGTGGAGAAGAGAGATCTCAACTGACAGCACGTGACACACTTTCATACGTTCTGCCCTCCCTCCTTTAAATTCATTCACTGAGAACAGTTTCTTCTCTCTTCTCTGTAACCTGCCTCCCTTCCTTATGTTTCAGGGCATAGAGGAAGGAAATGGTATCTCTTGTTGCATCTGTAGTAAAACTCTGGGAGCCTGTATCAGCAAATGGCACCCACATTCACTGATATGGTATGCTGGAAACAGGAAATGACCCCTATTTTCCTCCTTTCTGGCCAATATTGTCTCTGTGGGCCCATTGTTCCAGCTCTATCCTTCTGAAACAATTGGCTAGTTTTGTGGTGACATAAGCTTTGCCTGACCATTGGTTTTGGAGTTTAAAAGTTTTCCCAATATGATGAAATAGCAAGCTTCATTGCCTTCAATCCTTCCATGCTTTGGTTTGGAGGATGGTAGGTTATAACTGTTACAATAGATCCCAGTACATCTGAGATAGCCCAAAATGGTCTGACTGAGGTCTGTACTACCAGTGGTCCCTGCTATCCCTTTGTCCAGTTACTTGCCTTGATAAAAGTTCAGATTAGATTGAAACTTTGCTAAGAGGAAAGCAGTTTCCTGAGAAAGTGCATTTTCAGTTGTAGAGCACTTCAATATAAACAATATAAACACATTCACTTCAGTACAAAGGAAACTGCTGATTTATTCACCTCATCAGATACATTTGGCCACAGCATATAAAAAAATTCACTATTTTCTAAAGCACCTCAGAAAGTAGCTGAGCTCTAACGTAAGCTCTGTTATTTTACAAAATCCCAACTACTTAAGTGTAAGCCCAGAATGAGTCCACTGAAATGAACTGAGTTTGAGTACACACTGAAGTACAAGCAAATTTGCATTCAATGTATTATTTCTAAAACCTACAAATAAAACATATTATAATTACAAAACATAATAGAATTACATATAATTAATATTAATTGTTTTCCAGTGCACTTCTTAAGCCATCATTGCTGTCATGTAGCTTTCTATTAGCTGTTCTAACAGGGAAACAGCTTAACTTGCAACAGTATAGCAAAGACAACTTTAATAAAATATATAACTTATAACAAAGAAAATCTGAAAAAATACATATCAAAAAAACTTTTTTTTTCTTTAGATGAACACTAAGAAGTAATTTGGGCCAGAACTGTGTTGTTGTATACTTAAACAAATGACTGTAGATAAAAAAAAAAAAAAGCACTGTGAATTTTAAACTCCAGTGGTCGCCTAGGAAACCCTGATTCACTTTACACTTACATGACATGACATGCTCTGTGGTCAGTTGAGGGAAAAAGACAAAACTGTAGGAATGATTGTAACAAACTGCTAGGGGGCAGTAAACTGGAACAGTCATTTTTGATAAAAAATGTGACTACACTTTAAGTGTTGCTGAGATAACTCTAAGGAGAGATGTTCAGCTGCTTGAAAGAAAGTATAGGATTAAGATAAAGAAAACTAACTAAAAATATAAAACTATTCACTGTGATACTCCTTGAAAACAAAAATCTGTTTGGGCGCACCTTGTACAGCAGTGCGCACACTTAGTACTTTCCAGATAACGATAAGACAGGGAGTTACTGGAGAAGCGAAGTCAATAAAAATAGGAGCCAAGTAATAATATTGAGAATAGCATGGATAGACTCAGATCTCATTCAGCTTATTATAAAGAAATGAAAGTCAATGAGGCTAGGGAAAAAAAGAAAAAACCCCAAAGTGTTATTGGCTCAGTAGTCACATACTACCAAATACTGAATTCAAGAAACCATCAGTTTTGGTTGATACCTTTGGGCCACTTAAGTCAGTGGGGAGCTCTGCTTAAAAACCAATGGCATAGGATGATCCTCTAAGTCTCTGCTTAACAGAGAGGAAAAAAATGGAAAAAGCGTTTTAGAAGGCATAAACAGAGACATCATGGATAGGCTGCCAAAAACTTATGTGTATAAAAGTCACCCTGTGTGCAGTTATTTTAGGCTAAATATAGGAAATCGAGAAGGCAATTAATGCCACTCCAAATGAATCCAGACTTCTAAAATTGAAGTTTCAAAGAGACAGGATCTGATATGCCTTTTTACTTTTAGAAAGGAAGAGATTAAACAAAAATACCAGGGAAGAACACAAAACTCAGATGGCATAGCAGTAACTGCTGTCACATGAGCATCCAGCTCAATAATACGGGAACATAAGCTCAAGATGAAATGATATAGATTTGTAGAGGACTTTCTATGAGAATTGAGGCCATTTCAATATTTGACTTGATATTTTTTTCCCAAACTCCATCCAAGTCTTTTACATAACTAGAAAACTGTTTACCCCTGAATATTTTTGGACAAAATCTGTTAATATAAGTTTGAATTATTGAGAACTTACTGAAGTATTTCAATTTGTCTTTCCAGATTATCTCTGTCTTCAGTATACTCTCGGATCATTTCTAGATCTCTTATTAAAAAAAAAAAAAAAAAGTAAGTTATTCTTTACAGAGACCTCCCTGCCCTTTTTTTATATAGTATTCCTTGGCAGAGGACAGAACTAAACAGTCAACATTTTTGAAAGGTGATAAATATACAGTGGAGAAAAATATAATGTTTTAAGATATTTCTGAATATATATTTTTCTATTTTTACATTTCAGATTGCTGAAATATGTTAAAAGCAATTTTATGCAAAAGAAAACAATTTGATAACTTCATTGATCTCAGCCAGTGTATCTCAACAAAAACTGTGAATGAAGAGAATAGTATCGTGAAACTGTCATATAAGTGCCTTTAAATGAATATGAGTATCTGGAAGCAGCTCTCATTTGCTTCCAGGAAAATATGGTTGAGATTGATGTGGGAGGCTTCCAAACTTTATTTTCCCTGACTTTCATAGAGATATTCATCCGAGTGCAAGTCATGGAGGGAAAAAAAGTACCTGATGCTATAACTTTTACTCCTAACTGAAGTCCCAGTAAAATCAATGTGCTTCCTTGCATGATTATGAGAGTTCGTATCATGTCCAGTACTTGCTCTTTCAGAGCCTTGATAAGTGAACAGTAGTCATGGTATACTTTGCACACTGTCAAATGCGCATGTCAATCATGGCAAATTAAGAAAATAAAGTTACCAACTGCATACATAATATGATTATAATATATAATAATATACAAATAATAATATATTATAAGATATGATAATATATTATTATATGATATATAATATGTATGTTATGATATATAATATGACAACAGATTTCTTCTCCTGTTGAAAATATTAGCATGTAAAAGTACGTTACCTCTCAGTGTTCAAACTCCGATCTGCATACTCGCTTTTCAAATTATCTAATTCACTCTGTAGAAATGCTATATTTGTCTGTGCTTCTAAAAGATCTTTCTTAAGTTTCTGATTTTCCTTATAAAAAAAAGATGAGTTAGATGCCAGCTGTCAGTCACTTCCATAAAATGTTGACATATTGTAATGCTAAAATAAAAACCATCAAAATTATGCTAGTCAATAATCTAGCATTTAAGAACATTACTGAATTTTTATTTTTCAATTTCTGTTATACAAAAATGAGATTATATCATTTCAAGCCATTTCTAAATATTATACCTGCAATGTGTATCCATTTAAATAGAACTTTTTTCCCCTCAAGATAAACATCCCCATACACCTACCAACAATTTAGAAAGTATATTTCTTAGCTTAATCACTAAAACACCAGGACAAAATGTGAAAAAACAATCTGTATTGAATACTAAGGCTAAATTAACATGTTAATGATAATCATCTCTTACCAGCAACATATCATGTATTCTTTTTTTCAGTTCAACCACATCTTCCCTATGATTTATGTTTTTGGATTGTTCCTCCAGCTAAAAGAATAAACACATGCACAATTAATGTATATTCTTGACTTCTCTGATTCAAAGAACATAAAAAGTAATGGATGTCATATTAAATTACCCCTAAACGTGTTCCAGCTATGAAAGTTTTTAAAAACCATTGTTTTCCCAATTGCATGAGTAAGCAGCATCCCTTCCAAAAAATTTCTGGTTTCATAATTTATTTTTAAGTGAATATTTTTAAATGTTTAATATGCACTTGCACTCTGTATTTATTCTGCATTACTAGTGATACAAAAGCCAGATACTAAACAGGTGTGCCCCCAACTTAAAAAAAAAAAAAAAAAATTATACATTACCTCAATGTCAATTCTCAGTAGTATTTGTAACACAAGCTCTCGTTATTTCTCGTGAGAATATACACTTCTATCAATGCTGTTTTAAGTGTAATTTAATAAGCAGCAGCAAAACAAATCCTCCATGGTTGCTATAATGTTGCTAACACTTATAGCAAAAGCTAATCACAAAAATAAAACTAGATTACGAAATAACCCAAACCAATATTCATATCTGAGATGTTGGTTTATCTTACAGAGTTAGGTATCAGATGGAAAATTTATGTTGGATTTAAGTTTAGACTAGTAATAACTGGTTCTACTAGTGATTTCAATTTAAGATTACAGTTTAAACCTACCTCTACCATTAACATTTGCAATACTTGAGAGAACTGGACTAGTTTGCCAAAAGGCACTATGTTATTATAATATAGTAAATTACTATATTTGGCCTTGCCAATTTCACCTAATTCTATGAATTACAAATACTTAGAGGCAATATATTAGACTATTTCTAATTTCTAATAGCAGACTAGGTAATTGCAATATTAACACAACCTAAAACTTCTAAGTTGTCAATTACTGATACACATTAAACTAAAACGCTATAGTTGTGATTATCCATCCTCAGGAAGGTACTTCATCAGGTCAGCATTTCTTACAATATTTTAGCCATGACTTCAAGCCACTTACCTTTTTAAGTTTTTTTATTGTCACCTGAAGATCCCCAACTTCAGTATCATACTGGCGCTTCAGTTCGTTTAGTGCCTCTTCAGCTTTTCGTTTCTCCTGTAATATTTGTTATCTTATTAAGAGTCAAGATAGGTTTCAAATGTTTCTTAAAAAATGTAGTCATCAATTTGAAAAGCCAAATGTTTTCCTCTTAGACTGATTTGTGTAATTTTGTCTTTCCATTAAGTCAATGGCCACCTTTCTTAGGATCCACAAATATTGATTGTTATTGCCATTCACTTATAAAATATTCACAGAAATGAAATATTAAACAGATGGAAGCAAAGATATGGGTCAATTCAGTGTTTGTTATTCATGTCATATTCTCCTGTGCTTAACATTCCCAAAGTCTTAAATAAAACTGAAAGAGAAGCATTGTTCAAATTTTGTGTGCGCGCGCGCGTGTGTGTGTGTGTATAATACACACACACACACAAATCAGTGTTACATGTATTCTAGGAACTAAATTCTTTTTTTCCCCCAAACCAGCCTTCTATGGCTCAAAATACAACATTCTAATAATAGTTATTTATTTATTCCTGTTTATCTTTTAAAAGTTATCCCTTGTGTTTGAATATTACAGGACCATACTTTGAAAAAGGTATGCTAATGACAGCATCTTTAATTATGGCAGTTTCATGTAGACTTGGTCTGAAAATTAAACCTAGTAAGTGATTGTGAGTTTTATTTTAATCAAAATCAAGAGTTTTTGAAAGGAAGCTACCCCAAAAACAGTTTTGAACTGACAACGAAAAGAATATGTTCCCAGGGATATACATAAGCGCATGTTTCACTCACTCCAGTCACTCCCTGGTATTTAACTACACAGCTTCACTAACACAAGAACCCAGAATTCAGAACTGATATATGATGTCAATGAGACCGGTTGAGTTTTCAGGCAGAAACAGATAGACAGACAGGAACTTTGCTCAGAATTCAGTTCTTTCCTGTGTTATGCTGACATCCATGTGTTAAAATGATAATCAGCCAAAGTAATCAGTTTAGGCTGGATTCTCTTGCTATTGGCACCTATGTAGATTGCTAATTGTAGATTAAGAGTCTTTTGATAAACCGTTTGCTTCTCTTGAAGAAAAAAAAAAAAGAGATAGATATACTCAAACTGCAGATACTATCATGCAGAGGAAGGTGTGGCAGTCGCATGAGTGAGATCACTTTGACAAACAATAGTGTTGAGTACAGGCATTAAGATTAATGGCTTAGTACAATCCCACAAAGTAAATATCTTACATTTACTCTCAGGGCGTTTTAGCAGGTGGAGTAAGTGGAGCTATGAGCTAAATGGAACATTCAGGAGTAAAAATGTAAAGAGTGCTGTGAGAAACAAGTTACAGCCCATCTTTGATATTTATATCTAGGCATAAAAGGTGAAATACCAACCCACACAAGTCAATGACAATTTGAGAACTTAATGACTTTTTCAGGCTGCTCCCAGCCTTTTTTTTTTTTTTTTTTTTTTTTTTAAAAGGCATTTAAACACAAAACAGATCTTTCACTAGCATAAGCATTGCAAACTACAAGGAATTTTGCTGAATCATGAGGTGTTCTTAGAAAGTGAAAACACTGAATATGAATGGATAATACACAGATGTGTTTTTACATATTGCTAGTACATAACTGTGGATGTTCTTATATGAATACACATTTCCCAGTCATTTTTTTACAGTAGTGAACAAGATTCTTCAATTTTGTTTCAGTGATTTACCATTTTGTACAGAAAGGACATTTTCCAAAACAAATATATTTGTTTCCTGAACATAAATGCTTACTATTTCTGTAAACAGGAAGTATATTTGCACTGAGAGTTGCATTATCATTAGTTAAATACATTATGATGCACTATTTTCCTGGAGTGATATTTTAACACTTTTATGCCATTATATTTTCCTTCTAGGAAAAGAACTGACTCATGTTATGGTAGAAGTGTTTCCTTCTGTATGGAAAAGATAAAGTTTGAAGCAAATCTATCAGAATACCATTTACCTCATTGATCAGTTATCGTGAGCTGTTTTAAAATCAGCAAGTTTGCTGTTTGTGCTTTGCTGCTTCTTATTCTGCAAATGCTTTGGTGAAAGAACCCATACCAAAAATGTTCAGTATACTGTGTCCTACCAGAACAATAATAATGGCCACAGTATGTGTTTTAATTGCTGAATTTATTATGTCCATGTTAGAACACTAACTTTTATTCTTTGCATATTATAAACTTAGGTTTATCATATGTGAATTTAGTAACAGTTCAACATGAAGTAGACAACACAGGGTGGTTTTATTGTATTGCTTTCTACTTAGAATTACATAACCACCTGGGGTTCGACTATATCTTTCAACAAGTAAGGGGAAGAAGACTCTTATACTTTGCCATCAAGTCTACAAGTGGGCTGAAACAATGGCTAAAACCTTAGCACACTGAAATAACAGAGATTTTCCTATCAACTTCAAGATGTCCAGACTTTCACATACTTTCATCAAAGATATCCTCCCTCTTGTCTACAACTCCCTAAAATGTAATTGCAAGATCTGAATGTACCAATAGGGAAAAGAGAGATCATTGCTCCAGGCAGAATCACAAGTTAAGATCAAATGATCTGAGCTTTAATTTCTACACAAATTCATCTACTACTAGTACTAGAAATAGATTCCATTCTTTTCTGGTGAAAGGTCATTTTTCCAATCTGCTTCCAATATTGGTCTCAGAAACAAATTCCTCTACCTCACCACTTTCTCAAAGAATGGAAAAGAGAATTTTTCTTTGTTTATTTCTTCTGAGCATCTGTTCCTCTTTGGAAGACCATTAAGTGACTATATTACCTATCTCATGGATAGTTTTCTTCCAGGCCTTGCCTTCAGTGGCTTTGAATCAGTCCATCAGGATCAAAGAATCACTTGGCCATCAGTTCTTCTTAAGACCACTGAGAGTTCGGTAACTGTGAAATTCTGTCAATACAAAATACTCACTTCCTTTTTAACTTTATGCTCTGCAGCCTGTAACCGTTGTTCCATCTCCTCTTCCAGTTCACCGAGCTGAACTGCTGCCATATCCTGAGCTCTAAAATTTAGAAGTAAATATAGTCTTATGAATTGCCCCCTGGCTTCTCAGAAAATTTGTGTAAAACATATCTGCCTATATAAGCTCATATTAGACAGACAGAGATGGAAACAGCTGAACACTGCCCAGACCTTGAAAGGGGTGTGTTTGGGAGCCAAAAAACACAAGTTAATTTGAAAATACAGAATCACCAAGGTTGGAAGGGACCTCTAGAGATCATCTAGTCCAACCTCCCTGCACAAGCAGGGTCCTCTAGAGCATATTTCCCAGGATCACGTCCAGGAGGGTTTTGAATATCTCCAGGGAAGGAGACTCCACTACCTCTCTGGGCAACCTGGTCCAGTGCTCAGTCACCCTCACAGTGAAGAAGTTTCTCCTCATGTTCACATGGAACTGCCTGTGCTTCAGTTTGTGCCTGTTGCCTCTTGTCCTGTCCCTGGGCACCACTGAGAAGAGCCTGGCCTCATCCTCTTGACACCCTCCCTTCAGACACTTGTACACACTGATCAGATCCCCCCTCAGTCTTCTCTTCTCCAGGCTGAACAGGCCCAGCTCCCTCAGCCTTTCTTCATAGGAGAGATGCTACAGTCCCCTCATCATCTTGGTAGGGGGAGGATCCCCTCCCTCGACCTGCTGGCAACACTCTGCCTAATGCACCCCAGGATACCCTTGGCCTTCTTGGCCCCAAGGGCACACTGCTGGCTCATGGTCAACTTGTTGTCCACCAGCACTCCCAGGTCCTTCTCTGCAGAGCTGCTTTCCAGCAGGTCAACCCCCAGCCTGTACTGCTGCCTGGGGTTACTCCTCCCCAGGTGCAGGACCCTGCACTTGCCTTGGTTGAACTCCATGAGGTTCCTCTCCACCCAGCTCTCCAGCCTGTCCAGGTCCCTCTGAATGGCAGCACAGTCTTCTGGTGTGTCAGCCACTCCCCCCAGTTTAGTATCATCAGCAAACTTGCTGAGGG